AATGAGTATATAAATGATTATAATGATGATTTTTAATGGTTATATGATTAAATGGAGTAATAAAACAATTAAATGATAAATGATTATACGTTTTGAATGAAGAATAAATGATTATAAAAAAGAAAGCTAAACAACACAAATGTGTGGTTGTTGTCTTGAAGCAAAACACACACAGTTTGCATTTGAGGATCCTCACATCCTGATCCCCTTCTGTAGAAATCGGGTTCAGCGGGGGCGGGGGTGGAGGCCGACGGGTCTGGTCCCCCGCGGTAGAAGATTGGAAGGTAGATGCCACAGCATTTCTAATCAATGCCATTATATATGGCCATAAACACAAGATCAAGAAGCCCGAACAAACTGTACAAATTACCATCAGCATCACATATGTCAAATTAGTAAATATACCTTTAAACCATCCCCACCCAAAAGACCCTGAAGTAGTTTCCCTATCTGTCATACATGAAGGTCAAATTCTTGATCCCTTCTTCTATGACATGTCCATCTTCGTCATTTTCAGGAATATACAGTATGTGCAACATGTTTCTCCCACTATCACACAAACTGCCCCTTGAGATGCAGTAAGATGGTCCAAGACTAAACGATTTTGCAAAGCAGTGAGTCTCAGTCCTCTCAGCTCCTCCTTGATGCCTTCCATCATTATCTTTGTCGTGCTAATGAAAGAAATCAGTTCATACCTGGTAACCTGTACTTCTTCCATTAACCCTCATGTGGTGTTCGGGTCCTTTTTGCTCTGAAAAAAATTTATTTTTCCCGAAAATACTAGTAAATATTATCGCATTAGACTGAAATTTTGTGACTTCGTTCACAAAGGGTATAACTACTTCTAAAAAATGTTTTGATAATTTTCATACTTTTCTGGGGGAGATTTTTCACCTTGTTACACTCATGTTACAGAGCAAAAAGGACCCGGCCTCAAAAAAATGCTTATAAATCACTCATTATGCTATATTATCAACAAAGATTGGATTCAATCTTTTTGTCAACTTCTTATCTTTCATTTAGGACTGGTTTTGTATTTATATTTGCTTCAAATTAATTGTAGGCCTCATTTATCTGAGAGTAGGCACCTCATTTTTTGTCGTAGGCCTCATTTATCTGAAAGTAGGCACCTCATTTTTTGAGTGAAAAAAGCAATACTTGTAGTTTCAAGACTTCTGATATGATGAAGAGGGTCATATGAATATTTAGCAACTTGTTTTGTAACAGTGTGAGCCTCTTTTCAAAAGTTAAATATGATAAAATGTATCATTTATTTGTGCAGATCGGCTATTTCAAAGGAAAACAAGTCGGCTCACCTTATACTGTAGACGCACGAAGTAATTTCCCCCACTTTATTTCCCTCCTCTCGCCGCTTCATACCATGTATAATACATCAGCCAATTGTGATCTGGCGCAAGAAGTTCTAATTTCATTGGACATGTGAAGTGGAGCGGTCATTTTCCGTTATTCATAAAACAGTTGAAAATTACATGGACAGACGAGCTTACATTTGTGGAGCGATCTGGATCTGCGGTTTGCCTCATTTTATAAATCAAATTACATCGCTGAGGAAATGGATGCTAAATGACTACAAAAGCACTGCACAAAACCGTGCAGCGTCAAACGTCGCAATAATGGTAATCAGTATTCAATTCACTTATATTTATGTATGGTAGGCTACACCGTTTACTATTTCATGAAACTATAGTTAATGAAGCCCAAGTGCCACCTACACGCCTATTATGTGAAGTGTAGGATGGCGAAATGGTGACGTGAAAGGACTTTATTATATTACCATTTCTGATGTGTCTTATGCTCATCAAGACTGCATTTATTTGATTACAAAAAAAAAACAACGGTAATATTGTGAAATATTATTGCAATGTTTTTCTATTTTAATATACTTTCTGTGATGCAAAGCTGAATTTTCAGCATTATTACTGAAGTCTTCAGTGTCACATGATCCTTAAGAAATCATTCTAATATGCTGATTTATTATCAATTTTGGAAACAGTTTTGCTGCTTTTTTTTGTAACCTGTGGTACTTTTTTGGGGTTCATTGATAAATTAAAAGTGAAAAAGAATAGAATTTATTCAAAATAGAGATGTTTTCTAACAATATCAATCTTTACATTGTTTCTATCAATTTTAACAAATCCTTGCTTAATTAAAAACAAATTTCTTAAAAAACAAAAAAAAACTGACCTCAAGATTTTGAACGGTAGTGTATATTGTTACAAAAGTTATATTTTAAATAAATGCAGTCCTTTTTTTTTTAACTTTTTATTCATCAAAGAATCCTGAAAGAGTATCAAAGGTTTTCCCAACATTAAAATATATTTTATGCAATGCTGATTTATTATCAAAGTAAATTTTGATCAAATAAATGCAGGCTTGATGACCATAAGTGACTTGTTGCAAAGATATAAAATAGTAGGCTAATGTATCCAAACTTTTGACATATATATATATATATATATATATATATAATTATAATTATTTGTATTTTTTTTTTACATTGCCCCTATTTTACATTTGAGCCCCTGCCCCCGAGGAACTCTCTGTACGTCTCTGCTTCATACTCATTAATCTACCATTTAAAACACATTTTTTAAAGTCTGTTAATCGGGTTGACAATTTGTTTAATATGCATTAATTCCTTATTTACCAATTGACTTATTTAAATCAAAATTACATTTAATATGTTTACCATAATCTTTCATTTGTCAAAGCACTCTCAATAATCTATAGAGAGAGAAAAATGCGCCAAAATTAGAAAATCTTGGAAGATATCGCTGAACATTTAACCATAACAAAAGTAGGCTACAGTTCTTACTGAAGTTAATTTTCATCTCAGTTTTTATATAAAAGTGGACAATTCTGCTATCGTTTTCATCTCCAATGTGTTATTTAGCAGTATAGGTATGTCTTGCTAACCAGCAGAAGACAATAGCCATGTTTTAATTCCAGGTGCGCAGACGAGGCATGTTGTGTTCAATTGCACCATGTGTTAAAACGGTTCCCGCTATTAGAATTATGTTATAGCTTTGTAATTCACATTCTAAACTTTTATGAATTGTACTGAGCAACCATGCCAAACAGGTGAGGAAAGACTGAGGAAGAACCTGAATGTTTAGAAATGATTATTTCAAGAAAATGAAAGCATTCGTGATATCTTTGTGATATCAACAGCATGATATCTTCACTGTAAAAAATGACCGTGAATTTAACTTACACCTAATGTTGCTAAATTAATATTTATTGCATTATTTCAGTTTCATGTGTGTTACCATGATGGTGTTTAGCGTTTGTGTGAATGACACTGTGCACCTTCAATATATGTTATTATTTAAAAGCTGCTTGTGATGGGCTTTGGTTCATCATGTGACTTTCTCATCACCACCTGCATTTGGTGGTTATCAGTGTATTACAAAGGTACAAAACAGATTTCAGTACTTCAATAGGTTGGTATATTAACATTATATCAGTTAATGAAATTACGGTATTTAACTGTAAATTTAAGTTAAAACCGTAAAACCTAAAATGTTGCTACCGTATTTTTTACGGTAAAATTCCGGCAACCACAGCTGCCGTTTTTTTACCGTAAATTTTACGGAATTTTTTTTACAGTGTTCCTTTGTTTTCGATTAGTAGCCTATAGGCTAGTTGTTACAGCATATCCATGCATACAGTATTGCCTACATTTAAACTTGTTTAACAAATGTTTACAAGTAATTTAAGTCTGTGTTATACCGTTTGCACCATAACATTACCACCCGATCCCACCGGAGCTGGACTCGTGTCCTCAGACCGCTGCCCTGCGTTTCACTCATAGCTAAACAATGCTGTGAAATGAAATAAATAAATAAAATGTACATACGAAACGACCCCACCTAATTGTACTAGACGTGTGAAATTAATGTGGGAATAAAATAAATATTCTGAACCCCAGTGAGATTTAGCCTACACAAAATATGCAAACTGAGTTCTAAACAAATGTGATTTGATTCATTAAAGTTAAGTAGATAAAAGGATAAACGTGTCACATGCATGTAAATGTGAACATGGAACATTTTATCTCTCCTGAATACAGACTATTCTTCACATCTGTTCAGCAATTCAGATAGCCTTGCAAAACGTGCCAGTATGAATTCTGCCTGTCAACAACTTATGTCACATCCCAAGTTTCTTTTAACCACACTTACACTAGGAAACTTTATAATGACACACACCTACAGTTTGCTGGACATTTGCATAATCAACACTAGGACTCTTTTGTCTTCTAATTGTTTACAGTTTTTTCCAGTGTGATCAAGTTTATTTTTGTTTACTTTTATTCCGCCAGATATATAAAGCTTTACTTTAATAAATAGATTTTAACTTTTAGCTTTTGCGTAGTTTCCTTTAACAAAATAATGCCTAATTATTTTTGGCAGAAACTATGATTATGGTTTATTTATTAATTTTTTCAATTACATATTTTTCCTTGTAAGCCATGTTAATGTTCTTTATTTCTAGGCTACATAATAAAAACAGAGGGAACAAATATGTTTACAAATGTGTGTTTTGTCTTTTCTGCCAGGGAGCTTCACTTCTGACTCACACCGTGTAGGAAAAGGCTGTAAACTGCTGGCCCCTTGTGACACATACAGGAATTTTTTGGCGCAAAGAGTGAGTAAAAGTTTTGGATTAAGAAGAAATGAGAAGAAATTCTCAAGAAATGTGAATCGGGCACCTGTGTGTTTCTCCTGGTTCTCTAGAGATAAAATGTAAAGACTTTTTATGACACATATAAAAAGTGTCTTAAAATGTGAAATGTATTGTGTACTGTTTGTGACTTTAAGCAGCAGTGATATTGTGTCCTTTATCTGCGACCAGAATTGGTATTTACTATATGTTAACTGCAGTATATTAGTATAAGTTATAGTAGTATAAGGTAGCACAGCAAAGTACATGTTGTAAAATTAGTGATTGTTTGATCTGTTTTCTCTTATATACAGTGCCACATAATCCACCGAAAAGAATCCCCATCAACAGTCAGGATATTCCTGTTGCAAATCGTTTATCCAGAAGGATTGTTCTTCTGGGTAAAACTGGTGTTGGGAAAAGTGCAGCTGGAAACATGATACTAGGAGAGAGAGTGTTCAGATCTGCATTGAGAATGAATGCAGTAACCCATGAATCCACAGTGAGACATGCCACTGTTTCAGGCAGATCTTTGTCTGTAGTTGATTCTCCTGGATTCTTTGACACACAGGTGAGCCATGATCAGTTTGTGACAGAGATGACAAAGAGCATGTATTTATCCAGTCCTGGACCTCATGCTTTTCTCATTGTGTTTCCTGTGAATATGAGATTCACTGAACAGGAGCAGCAGATTCCTCAAAAGATTGAGATGTTGTTTGGTCAGGAGGTGTTAAAATACTCCATCATTCTCTTCACTCATGGAGATCAGCTAGATGAAGAGTCTGTAGAGGAGCTCATTGAGGAGAATGAAGCATTAAGACATCTAGTTGGTCAGTGTGGAGGCAGATTTCAAGTCTTCAACAACAGAGATCAGAATAACAGAGAGCAGGTGAATGAATTACTGGAGAAGATTGACACAATGATAGAGCAGAATGGAGGAGGATACTACAGTAATCAGAGATTTCAAGATGCTCATAGATTAAGACGAAAGGAAGAACAGAAACAGAGAGAGGAAGAACAGAAAGAGAGAGAGGAAAATGAGAGAAAACTACAAGATGAGACTGAGAAAGTGAGAAAGGAAACAGAACAGCGTATCAGAAATGAGTATGAAAGTAAAAAAGAAGAACCAAGCAGTGGTTTTCTGCAGTTTTTATCCATGTATAAGTATCAAATTTATATGGCAGCCATAGCAGCTGGTTTTCTAACTGGTGGTCCAGTTGGGGGAGCTATTGGTGGCAGTGTAGCAGGAGCTGTATTTGGTGGAGCTGAAAGTGGAACTGTAACTGGAGCTGCTGTTGGTGGAGTTGTTGGTGGAGCTGTTGCTGGAGCTGTTACTGTTGCTGGAGCTGTTGGAGGTGTTGCTGGAGCTGTTGGTGCTGCTTCTGGTGGAGCTTTTGTGAAGCGGTAGTTGGCACTGTTCATCCACAGCAATTACCAACAAGTTAGGAGAGCTCAATTCAACTAAGGAAACCAACTGGATCAATCCATTTAATTTGAGTGTACTAAAAAAGTATATTTCGTAATATACAATGAAATTTACTCTATTGAAATTATTTGTGTAGCTAAATCATAAACATTAAATTAACTCTCGGTAACTATGTAGCACACATATGTGTTAACCTAAGTAGCAAAGAGACTACAACTTCATCGGCAGTTGCAAATATTGTCTTTCAAATAATAGAGCATATACTCTAGAGTCTAGCTGATCCTTGACCTACCTAGCCATAACATTACACACTAATGCGTCTCACTCTAGGTGCAAAAACACACAAAATAACTAATTTAAGGTCACATGCAGGAGATTAATTTATTTCAGATCAGATGAAGTCAGATTTATTTCATTATTTTATTTCTTATTATCTTTGTGTCTACTGCCACCTGATTTCCCATTGGCTGTTAGGAGAGCAAACTTTACCAGCACAGCTGACATACAGTATGTAAAATTTCAGGTAAAAATGGAAAATAAATCTGCTGTACAGACTTTGTACAGATTGCAATATTTGATTTGAAACACAGATTAAACTTTAACATAATTCATGTTATACACAATTATATTCTTACCAATAATGTTACTGAATCTAATCCATCAATGAATGTATTCCACCATTTGGATAATTTGTCCTGTCATGTGATGTTTAATGGGCTTTTAAAATAATATATATACTTCTCTGTTTAAAGGTGATCTTTTTTGTTTAGCGGTTCCATTTTGTCTGTATGTTAATCTCTAAATGATGACAATAAATATGAATGTAACGAACCCTGATGTGGTGTGTTATTTATTGTTTGTGGTTCTTTAATTATTTCATTATCATTTGTATTTTGTATGTTTGTGAATATGATTCGATTTTGTTAAATGTAATAGGTTATGGTTGAGGACTTTAATATTGACAGTGCATTTACTGAACGTAGCGTATATATGACGTGTATACCTTATTGCAGGGATGGGCAACTTTGATAGTGACGAGGGCCAGCATTTTTTCTCCTCTATACCAAGGGGCCAGATTACTAATCCACGTACACACACTTTTTACACCGTCTTACTCAATTTCCTTTTTATTGAAGGAAATGAAAGTATAACTAATGTCATTTGTTTTTAAAGATTTTATTAAGTATACAACTTGTGCAGTTATGCTAATTCAGAAGGAAAACTTTGTTGTCAGTGGACAGAAATATTACCAAGGAAAACTTTGTTGTAAGTGGACAGAAATATTACCCCGACAAGCCAATGTAAACATTTCAATTGCATTGTAAATTTGCAACAAACAGATATACAGAGGTCCTTTTTTGATTAGTAGCCTACAGAACATTCTCAAAACAACCTAAAAGGTGTCACGTTGCACACACACGAGGAGACGGTAGCAAAAATAGCAGATGGGCTTATTGAAAAAGCAAATTTGTTCTCTGCCAGCAGGTGTCACTTTCGGAACTGCAGAAATATAGTGGTTTCCCCGGTAACCGCAGTACACAAAGCTGACTGCAGCCTCAAGTTTATTCAGTGAAATCGTAGCCTTTTGAAGTTTAATCGTCATATTAATCCATATAGCAATTCTTGTCTTTCCGTCCCCAAAAACCTCTTATAATTTAGACTTTTTGTACTATTTAAGAGTTTGCATGGCCTTAAATGTAAACAATTTAACTGAAGACGTTTTAAAGACCCGCGGAAACCCCAATAAGAACATAGTCCAGTGCAAACATTTCTGTCATGCATTTGGCAAAAAGCTTTTGACGACTATGAAATTCACCTTTGAAATTTGAGGCTTGTGAGCAGTGGTGTGATGGCGATTTAAATAAAATACAGATTTCCAAACATATGGGTATCCGCTTGAACTTGGTAAAAAGATAATCTGTTTACCCTGTTGACTTGAAAATACTGTTTTCATGGTCAGTTTTTCATTTATTATTTGATAATGTTAATGAATTAGAATGCACGTCCTACTACGGTGAAATTAATAGGGGAGCGGCTGGAAATAGCGACCTCTCCTAGTTGGAAAAGCCAGAATACATCTGGGTGATTCAAAACTTGACATGAAAGGCAAGCGTCTTGATAAACCGTCAGTAATTGAAAGGCCAATACAAAAGCTGGTGCTATTAATAGAAAACAATCAGTGTGACTAAAACATAATTTCTTAAGGGATTTAAAAATTGTGCTTTGTATAAAATGATTACTTACTGTGAATTTAAGGGCATTTATATCTGGAAATCATTCATGTTTATATTCATGGTATGATTTGGTGGGAGTGTAACGAACCCTGATGTGGTGTGTTATTTATTGTTTGTGGTTTTTTAATTATTTAATTATTTGTATTATTTTGTATGTTTGTGTATGATTCGATTTGTTAAATGTAATAGGTTATGGTTCAGGACTTTAATTTTGACAGTGCATTTACTGACCGCAGCGGATATATGACGTGCATACCTTATTGGGTTAGACGCTGAGAAAGCATGCTAAGCAAGGAACGCTAAACAAGGCACGGGTACACAGTCGATTCATGGACTTTACGGTTCATAAGTTTAGCTCCTGGTTTAAGGGAGAACAAGGTAACAAACATCTCTGCTTGATGTATGTGATTTTGTTATTAGATTAACGCTTATTTTGTTGGTTTGTTTGTTTGGTACAAAAACATCTTCAGCTTTTGGTTTTATTTCTCATCAAACACAAAACAACTTTGAGGGACAGCAATGCATTCGTTCATTCCTTTGCTTAAAGCCTAAAAAAGAACCTGAAGGAGTTTTTTTTTCTTTCTGTTTTTTCTTCCATGGAGTCCTTGATTTCACGAGTTCACACTTTCTTATAATTAAATAAAGGTTATGTGTATTTGGCGTGCTGTCCGGGGAGAGAGGTCTGAGCTCGGTGTCCAGCCCGGCCAAAAGTGTTCCCCCCGAGTGCTTCTCCCCGTGCTGGGGTAGAAACTATGCTGAAGGTGCGGGGTCGGGGTGGCGGAGGGATGCTGAAAGTCGAGAGATAACGAAGGTAGGACGTACTTGGTTATTTATGGGAGTTTTCTCTTGCGCTGATTGGATAAATGGTGTAATCACTAATGATGAACTGGCCGTGTTAATTATCTGTGCGTGCTCCTCCCGAAATTTGTTTATAAACATCACTTCATGAGTTCACACTTTCTTATAATTAAATAAAGGTTATGCATATTTGGCGTGCTGTCCAGGGAGAGGGCTCCGAGCTCGGCAAGACTCCCGAGCCCGGGGCACCCCCACCCCGTCCGGGGAGAGGGGTCCGAGCTCGGTGTCCAGCCCGGCCCAAAAGCACTCCCCCAAAAAGCAATTTAAACCAGGACAGCAGCCAGATACGTGCATTTATGACCCCCCAAAACAAGGCTTAATGTTAGAGGGGTGCTGGACGTCCTTTGGTATACATTTATTGCGGCAGTATCTAGGAAGAAAATTTTTCTTCTGTGGAAGAACAGGTAAAGCTCCTGCGGGAGCGGGGTGCTGTTGGGATGGCTGGGGTGGGGATGGGCCGTTGTGGATGGATTATGTGATGTTAAGGGGGGTTGGCTATGGTGGGTCAAGGGTTCGGGTGAACCGGGATGGGCTGGCTCCTGCAGGAGCAGTCAGTGCTGCGGCAGTGGGGAAATACAGAAAAGGCTCCTGCGGGAGCAGACACTGCTGCGGCAGTGGGGAAATACAGGTAAAGCTCCTGCGGGAGCGGGGTGCTGTTGGGATGGATGGAGTGGGGATGGGTCGTTATAGATGGATTAGGTGATGTTAAAAAGGGGGTTAGCCGTGGTGGGTCGGGAGTTTGAGTGAACAGGGATGGACTGGCGTTAAAGGGGGTGATTCCGATGCGGGAGTGGTCGGAGGGATGGGTAGGGGCATGGCGGAAGGAGGGTACCTGCGGGAGCAGTCGTTACTTGAGGCAAAAGGGGCAATTGAAAACTCCTGCAGGAGCGGGGTGCTAAATGGAGATGGGCAGGGATGGACTAGGGAAAAAGGGGGTGACTGATGAGGGTTTGGTGGACTTCCTTGATGTGTGAGCGGTCAGATCGGATATAGCTTTTAAAGGTTTCTGATGACCAGCGACCACGTTTGGTGCCATAGGTAGGGGACAGACAGTAGGATGAGCGGGCATGGGGGATGGGGGTGGGGAAAGTAGCCGCCAGAACCGCCTGCGGAGGCAAGCTCGCGCTTGGAACGGCTCAGGGGGCGAGATCAGAAGAAAGAGCAGGAAAGAGAGAGGGAATAACGGGCGCCAGAACCTGCGCCATTAGCGGAGGCGGCCTCACACCTTGGTCGGCTCCGGGAGTGGGCAAAACATAGGGAAGGAGAGATGGAATGGTGGGCGTCGGAGCTTTTGCTGCTAGCTGAGGAAGCCTCGCGCTAGAGCTGGATGGTGGGGCTGGGGGCCATGGGTAGGGGAGAGGGTTAAGGGTGGGGTAAAACAGGGACTGGGGATGGGGCTGTGCCGCTAGCGGAGGCATGCTCACGCTTGGGACGGCTCCGGGAGTGGAAGGAGGGGAAGAGAGGGGGAATGGTGGGCGTCGGGGCCTGCACCATTAGCGGAGGCAGCCTCATGCTAGGGTTGGGACGGTGGGGCTGCAGGCCATGGGTAGGGTAGGGGAGGGGGTTGGGAGTGGGATAAGGAAAGGGCTATGGATGGGTCTGCACCACTAGCGGAGGCGTGCTCACGCTAGCATCTGCTACGGGAGCTGGAGGCCAATTTGCTTCAGCTGCCGTAGCTGTAGGCCATGGGAAGGGGGTGGGGTTGTGACGTCCTGAAGAGCCTGTGTAGCCTGCACTGCTAGTGGAGG